TGTCAAATCTACAGTATATCTCTTTCTTGAAAGGAGCCTAAAGTACTTTTAGACCTTTATAAATTGGCAGTCATAAAAACTTAATGCTTTCAGTTGGGAAGAGCATATTCATCTATAAAAGATGTTGTTCATGAGAATAAAAAAAAATGTCCACTGCTTTGTTATTTATGTAACAGGAAGGAACAGTTTCAAAAAAGATTATTCACTAGGATTCATTTTAAACAGTATGACTGGAATTAAAATGAAATAACTCAAGCAAAGAGTCATGCCATGTATCCCCCCAAAAGATCTTTGAGTCAGTGTCTTGTTGGAAGCATCTCACTTTTCTGCACTGGTAAGTCTCTTCAGGTACATTTGCATCTCACAAAGCAGTACTATGATCAATATGTGTAATCTTGCTCAGTGTGTGCTGATACGCTGAAATTGTGCAAAATCACAGATAGAAAATAAAGTAAAATATATAAAATCAAAATAAAAGAACTTGAGTTCTCAGAAGAAATTAAAACTTCCTAAGCATTAAATAGAGATGAATATTTTTGCAACAGACTTGCTTAGTACAATGCTCTGACATACCTATATTATTTGCCATTCAAGAAGCAGCTAGCTAAATGTTAGTTTGAAAATCTTTCTTTTATGCATTATAAAATAGAAACATGTACCTCTATGTCATTAAATTATTGTTTCCTTAATGTTGAAATATCAAGGGAAATATGTAATTCCAGCTTTCTTGAAAGAAGACCTGAGCACTTAAAGTATTTTCTTCACAATAATTATTTGCATGTATATTAGATTTGCATGTATATTAGATTTTGCTTTGGACTTTTTTCTCCCAATTATGAGGAGCATACAGAGATATTATTTTTCTGAATTATAAAATTATTTGTCATTGTACTTTGCACCCATGCATCACAACCCGATTCACTGAGGAGCTACAAATCATAATGGCAACTCTTCTAATGATTTCTGAGTCAAGTTCTCCAGATAATACTGTAGCAGAGTTGAGAATCTGGTATCTCATCTACAATACTAAATGTAAATAAGCTGCAGGCAGATTTTACGTCTATAAATCTGCATTATATAAACATGCCAGTGTAATATTGTTGGGCCCTAGAGTGCAAGGGTATTTTCATAACTCTTTCAGTCAGCTTTGATACCAGCCTCTGAATAAGAGCAGGTATTTTCTGCAGTATGTCACTAAATATTCACTGAGGAAGGTAGGTCAGGCCTAATTCTCCATTTCATCACATCCTAAATTCCAAGTTTAAGCTAAGGCTGTCCTATATGCAATATCCCAAGAATTATAATGGTATTTCAAACTCAGTTAAAATTATGGTTGCAAAAATGAAATTTCACATTTAATTATCCAGTGTATAAGATAAAACAAGTTAGATTTTACCATCAAAACCATTTTTTTTGTTTGTTTGTTTTGTTTTGTGTAGAAGAAACTACTTGATTTGTTCTAGTATACCTCTGCCTTAATTCTTTGGAAAGATGTACAGGTGACCAAAAAAGAATATTCAACTAATCTGTGGTTATTTGACAGGTAAAATTGCCAGAAGTTGTCTGATATGTGTAAATACTAATGAGTTGGTGACATTTTGTGCTCCCTACACCAAATTGCTTCTGCTTTTCAGTCTGTGTTAAGTAAATAGATGGAGAATGGATAGAAGATAAGGAGAATTATTAGTTTATAAGCCCACTGGAGTGGAAAGGAGAGTGAATGTTTGAATGGTAGTAGAGAAACACTGTATTTATTATTGAAGTGCAAGAAAGAAGAATATTATGCAATTAGATTTACACAAAGGTCTAGGTTTTTTGTGTTTTTTTGTTTTTTTTTTTCCCCATAGAGATGCTTGTCCTGCAAAGTATCTCACTTTCTTTGTCATTATATATTAGATTATGTGTTATATCTTACATTTTGTTCATCCATTGGCCTCCTGCAATTAGTGATTCAACAAGTTTGTCTGAATCAGACTTCAGAGTTGTTCATTATTCCCCATCACGTGATATAGTCTGTACCACAGTTGGACTTTGATATTTAATGTCCAAATTTAGCAAGTTTATACTGAATCATAAATTTTATGACCTGTAGCTACTTCTGTGATCATGTAGGTGAATTTTTTTGCAAGAGCACTGCTAAATTTCATGCAATCATTTCTACCTTGAGGATGTGACTTCACAATGATTTTCAGTATCTTTCTAAAATACAAAAATTTCAAGCAATGGGGAAACTAGCACATTCCTGATTTCACAATTCTAATATTCAGTTATCTTCTTTGGTTAAAATTTGGACTATTGTCCTTATCCTGAATTTGACAGATTGCTGTTTCCATATCTTACACTGGTAGTAATAAGACTCTAAATCATTTTTTTTTTAATGCAAATACTTACATTCTGATTACTTCTTGGAAAACAAAAACAAAAACAAAAAAAAAAAAAAAAAAAACTGATAAACCCTGTATCTCATGGAATTTCCAGGTTTTCTAGATTTTTGATGTTTTATGTCTAATTCTTTAAGAGTCTCTCCATATGGTTTACATTCTTTACATACACATCTTCATCCATTAATTCTCAGGGATGTACCATTAGAGTAAGTACTACCAGCTGCAACTCCAGGCTTCTATAGCTGTTCCACTTTGCAATTTCACTTCCAAATATCTTCAGATATAAAAGCAAAATTTAAAAGTGCACAAGACATTGAAGATGGATGTTATGAGACTTTCATGGAATGCAGCAGTTTTGTTATTTTTTATTTGCTTATTAGTGATCTGTACTTTGAACATGAATGTATTCCAATGTGATTATTTGTTCTCACAGATAGTACAGACATAACTGTACCAAAACAGAATGAAATCTGACCTTGAAGAACCTATTTGTCTAATATTTTAAAATATAGTAAGCTTGAACAAGTTGTTAAGGAGCAAATGTGAGGATATCACTGCTTTTGATGTTCTGTAAAGAAGAGACTTAAAATGGGAAAACTCATATCAAGTTCATGAATGCTATAAAACAAAAACAGAGAAGATTTTGTTCAGAAGCTTTATTATCTTTATTTGTGTGAGAAGAATGAATTGCCTATAGTTTTGCAAGTAATTTCTCCTATTATGGAAGCAATGAAAACTGGCAAAACCGAATAGACAGTCTCTTATTGCATCACATATAGTTTCCCAAGGAAAATAAACTTTCAGATTTCTCAGTCATGTGACATTAACTATATTCACACTTTTTTTGCAGAGAAGCAGGACATGGATCTCACATTAAAATAGCATTTTTATTTTGTCAGTTTTCTAACTACAACACCGCCCTCTGTCAGTATAAAGTTAGCCTTCAGGGAAATGAAATTGAATATAATGATAGAAAAATATATATTAGTTATTCAGTAAGACTGAGTGAATTAAAAGAATACTTTAATGAAATAATAATAACAAAAAAATGAATTGATTACATAAGAGCAAGTGAAAAATGCAAAGTAATAGACATTGGGAACGAAATCTCGAGGAATGATGCCTCTCACAGGTCTTTACATGCATTTTACAAACCCAGCAAAGTTCTCATCGTAGAAGTCAGTGAACACTTTTACATACAATGTCTGGAGTGGTGTCATTATAATACATTGTAGCAAATATGTTTTGGATGACAATAAATTTCACCGTCCAGCCTTTGGGAATATGTATAACTGTCAGGCAAAACTAAATGATCAGAAGCAGACAGCATGGGCAGATCCGGCCTGGCTAACCTGATTTCCTTCTGTGACAAGTTAACCCACTTAGTAGATGATGGAAAGGCTGTGGATGTTGTTTACCTGGATTTTAGTAGTGTTTGACACCATCTCCCACAGTATTCTCCTGGAAAAACTGTTTTTTTGTGGCTTCACTTGGTGAAGAACAGGCTGAATGGCCAGGCTCAAATAGTTACGGTGAATGCAGCTCAATCCAGTTGAAAACCAGTCACCAGAGGCATCCTGCAGGTTTCAGTCTTAGGGCCAATTTTGTTTAACATTTTTTTCAGTGATCTGGTTGAGAAGCTTGAATGAACTGCGAGTTTGCAGATGAAACAAGTTAGTCAGGACCGTTTATCTGTTTGAGCGTAAGAAGGCTTTGCAGAGGGTTCTGGATAGGCTAGATCAATGGGTCATGTGCAGTCACATTGGCTAATGGGTGGTTTGGATTTAGCCTGAGATTTCCAGAATAATAGTTATCTGGGACCATCTACCATGGGGTAGCCCTTCTTTGCTAGATAAAGAAAGAATCCTTACATATCCAACATTATTTTCTTCTGAAGGCATTCATTCTCTGTCATTGTCACTTGTCACTTCTTTTCTAAAGGCAACTTTTCATGAAGAAAACTGATGATGCCGTTTAAATAGTTTAAGTTCCTCACTGTAAGTCACTTCCTCCAGTCTTTGAAAATATTGCTTTTTTTTCTTGATGCTATGCGAGTCCACCAAACTTTTGCTAGTAAAAAAAACTTCTATTTTCATCTACATAATTGACAGAAATTCTGAAGGTGTCAGACATTCTTTCACTCTGCTATGAAACACTTGAAGAAAATTCTATTCAACAGATATCTCTTTGGCTGACAATACTTGAGATATACCATGTAGCTAGTCTACATACTGTGTGATTTGCTTATATTCTAAAAGCTAATTAATGATAAGAATGTTACATGCCACAGGTTAAAAAGCTTACAGAAATCTTAAGATGCTTACATCATTGACAGATAATTCTGTGAAGCAAACAACTTTCTCAAAGAATGAAATTAGGTTTGTTTGACAAGACCTTGAGTCTGTTTGACAAGAACTTCATAAAGCCATGCTCATTGGCATTAATTTTATTCCTATATGTTAACTTTTAATTTATCAAATTTCAAATCAGTGTTTCCATTTTCACCTTGAGTATGCAAGTTTAGGCATCGCTTTATGGAAAACATTTTAATTATTATTATTATTATTTCCAGAGAAATAATATTTTTACATTCTCTCACTCTCTCCTTCATTTTAGGAGTTACAGTGCTTGAAGGGCCTATTTATGCAGTGGGAGGCCATGATGGTTGGAGCTATTTGAATACAGTTGAGAGATGGGACCCTCAAAGTCAGCAGTGGACATTTGTGGCAAGTATGTCAATTGCCAGAAGCACTGTTGGAGTAGCAGCATTAAATGGCAAGTGAGTAGGGTATTCTTTTACAGTTCAAATGCGTTTCTTAGGAGGATGAAATAACTGTGACATACAGTAGTAAATAACTTCTGTCCTATTGTACTTGCGGTAACTTTTAAAGTACAGACACATTGTGCACACCCTAAAATCTTGTAGCTCTTACACTCATGTCAGATGTCGTTTTTCTGTGTATATATATGCTTATATATATACTTGTTCCTTTTGTTTAATATTCATATCAAATGCATAAAAAAATAGACATGACATTTCCGTGTGTATGTTCAGTATGAAAAATTGTCAGTTGACTCATCTTTCTTGTCTATGCCAGTTCTAGTTAACCGAGTTTGTCAGTCTAAAATATCCAATGATGAGGTTTGTTGCATGCTCTTTCAACTTGCTTCAGCCAGACATTGAGCCAGGAAACCTGCTTTGACTGAAGGCAACTACATTCATACAGGAAATAAACAGAAATTTGATTCTGACATTAATCTGCATTAAATCTGCAATTCTAAGTGTGTTTAGATTCTAAGTTTCTCTCTTAGAACTTTTTATTTTTTTAAAGTGATCCTTAAAACTCATTTTACAATAACACGATATTGTGCTGACACTTTTTATTAAGGAGCCGCATGCACTAAAGCTAGAAACCCGGGCCAAACTGCATCCCAGTAATACAATTATGCAAAATTCTGAGTATCTAATTTTCTGAAATGAAATTAGAGACATGAGGTTTGTAAAAGGTTCTCTTTGTTTGATAGTATAAGATGCTGTTTGCAATGTACCTACACTACTTATTACTTTTGTTTATCAATTGAAAGTATTTGCTTTTAGTTGCCTGTCAAAAAATAATACGATGTGAACTGTAAAATTTAGAGGTGGGAGAGGGATTCATCACACATAACTTCAGATACTTCTGGATAGACATCTACAACTGAGTCAGTTGTCCTCATAAGCTCACCTTATGATCAACTGAAGAAATAATTTTAAATTATCATACATCTTACTTATTCTAGACACTTATGCTAGGACAGCATGAATTATATCCTGTAAGTTCCTGTTTTGCTTCCTCAGTTATAAAGGAAACCAGGGAACTCTGTCTCAGTTTGTGATTTCTATTTTTTTTTTTTTTTTTTTTTTTTCATCTTAAATGAAGAAGATTGATACTTCTATGGGCTTCTATTCTTCTATTTTCTATGAAAATAAATGAAGATGCACGAGTAGGACTTGGGGGTCCTGGCAGACAAGAAGCTGGACGTGAGCCAGCAGTGTGCACTTGAAGCCTGTAAAGCCAACTATATACTAAGCTGCATTAAAAAACGGGTGGCCAGCAGAGAGAGGGAGATAATTGTCCCCCTCTAGTCAGCTCTTTTGAGGTCCCATCTGGAGTATTGCATCCAGTCCTAGGGCCCCCAGAACAAAAAGGACGTGGAGCTCTTGGAGCAGGTCCGGGGGAGGGCCACTAAGATGATCAGAAGGCTGGAGCACCTCTCTTATGAGGAAAGGTTGAAGGAACTGGACTTATTTAGCTTGGAGAAGAGAAGGCTCTGTGGAGACCTTCCAGTATTTGAAGGAAGAGTATAAATAGGAGGGGGAATGACTGTTTATACATGGGTGGGTAGTGATAGGACAAGGGAGAACAATTTTAAACTGAGATGGAAGATTTGGATTAGATAGTAGGAGGATGTTTTTCATACAGAGGGTGGTAATGCACTGGAACAGGTTGTCTGGAAAGGTTGTGGATGCCCCATCCCTGGAGGCATTCAGGGCAAGGCTGGATGTGGCTCTGGGCAGCCTGGTTTAGTGGTTGCCAACCCTGCTCATGTTGAGGTCCTTCTCAACCCAGGCCATTTTATGGTTCTGTGATTCTGTGATAAATACAGATAATCTTAAACCAGTAAAATAGTTTTAACATCATGTTTTTCATTCTCCTATTTACGTTAATGACGATATTTAAGTGTATTCCCCTTTCGCGTTTTTTTAATTGAAAGACATAAAAATATGAGGTTCTTTTCTTTATGAGATAATTTATAGTAAATTGCCAATAACAGATTTACTGTGTTGCTTGATTATACAGATAGAATTTAAAATGGCTTAAGCATGATAGAAATTCTACTTCAGCATTCACAGAAATAAAGCACGTTAAAATTTTTTTGAAGACTGCATATACTATTTTGTCCTTTCACACACGTGCAAATTTATGTTTCAGATTTTCAGATAAATTGGTGTTTTGTGGAAAGGCTTTGATGAAATCAAGTGTAATGTTTAAAAATATTTGTTATAATGTATATTCATTCAGTTATATTGAGTTCCACTGGTTTTACAGTAATTGAATTCATTTGGTGATGTATTCTCACAAATTGGATTTTTTTTCATAGCAATATTTTTCCAGCTCTATGCTTTTTAATTTTATATAAGAAACAGGCCAATTCAGATATCAGTTTATGTGCAGAGTAATATTTTGTTTTCATGTCCTATAATGAAACAAACCTAGAATAAGTCTTGTGTTATTTAAATTAAAATTGTGCTTGTTGCAAGTAGCAGTTGTTTTTGTTTAGTATTTAGTGTTAACTATTATGCATTACTGCAAATTGAATATGAGAAAGGTTAGCTTACTGAACCTTCATTTTCAAGAAAATAGCAAAATCCAAACCAAATCAGTATGTGCATATGAAAGGTTATCAAAATTGTTCTGTAGCCATACATATGGGATATATTTATTGTGTAATGACCTCAGAGAGGCTTAGGTTAATAATTCCACTAAGTCCTTAATAGCAGTTCAATGTTTTGCACAAGAGAATTTGTAATGTATTGCATTCATATAACCACCTACAAAATGTGATTGCATGGCTGATTATAGTCTCCTCCAGGAGTTCTGCTTCTTTGCCTTTCATGCATCATATAGTAAACTATCTGTGGCATTTTATCGTAGCAGAATCATTAAGGCTTGTTACTAATTCAGTGCCCTGCTCTTTTCTTTTGTACTTCTCTACACACAAATTCTTATTTCCTATCTGAGGATCCCAACAGTTCAGTGAATGTCTGTTTCAATTCAATGTGCATCATAGTCTTCTCAGTTTTTCAAGAAAGATTTAACTTGCCATTTTACATTCAGGCTGTTAAAAAGGAATCTCTGCAAAAGTCTGCTTCTTTTCATGTTCCTAGGTTAGTAAATCTGTGACTCTTAGAAGAGGACAATGAAATATGAAAATTCACAGTGAAAAGGAAGATTCATTTTGTCAGTTGTTTATGGACTGGTTCACCCCAGTTCCATGACAAACATGGCAGGGGGACTCACAGATCCACGTCCTGGGAAAGGGGAAAAGGGGAAAGGGTAGGGAGATAGGCCTAAAAACAAAACAGCAGCAACAATCTGAGGAGAAACAAACTAATTTTCTAAGTAAGATATTGGAATGCAAGATAACACAATATAATACAATATAATTGGAGTTGAAGATAATAAATCAAATAAAATCAGAGAGAGTCTCCAAAAACCAAAGGCTTTACTCTAAGTAAGCTGAGGCAATATGGCACTCAAAACAGAGACTAACTGGAAGATTGAAAAAAGTGGTCCCGTGATCTATGAATAGTTTTTATCTTTCCCTGAGTGGAAAACAGTAACAGAACAGCTAACAGTCCTCTGGGAGATGTTCTTCTCTTCTGGGACAGGCACCCGGAACTGGAGTATTCAGCTCTCACTGTACTACGTGATGTTATGACATGGAAAACTGATGACCAACACATAAAAGCATGACACATTTACAATCAGTATGCATTGCCTTGATTGTTAGAAAACATGGCAGATGCTAAAAACACTGCTAAATTACAGAGTGGGAACTTACTGAGGCTATCAGCTATTTAGTTACCAGGCTACCAGCTGCTTAGGCTGTGTTCGTATTTTGTGTGTTTTCTGTGCATCTACATCTTTTCAGTGAATATAAAGCACCATATACATTTGTTTGTCATTTTAACTGCATGAGCAAGATTTTTTTCTACTAGGTGATCGTTGACCAGCATAAAGTTAGCATTACAGTCATTTGCAAGGACTGCCATTCAGGTTTTGTAATAGTAAACACTGTCTTTTCTACTCACATTTCTTTTTCTCCTAATTTTACAGTGGATAAAAGATTTTGTGTAGATAATATAACATAGCATGTTATGTTTTAGTTTGTGTGTTAAGAATACTTCAGAGCAAGCAGACAGAATGAATAAAATTTAGAATCACAGAATGGCTAAGGTTGAAGGGACCTATGGAAATCATCTGTTCTACTGCCTCTGCTCAAGCAGAGATACCTAGAACAAGTTGCCCAGGACCATATACAGGCATATTCATCTTTTGAACATCTTTAAGATCATTTCACACTGGTCAACCTATTCCAGTGTTCAGTCACTCACACAGTAAAGTGTGAGTAAAGTTTTTTGATGTTTAGACTGGCCCCTTCTGTGTTTTAGTCTGTGTTCATTGGCTCTTGGCACTGGGCACTACTGGTACGAACCTGTTCTCTTTGCATGCTCCCTTCAGGTGTTCCTATACATTGATATTTCCCCTGAGCACTTCTACTTGTTGAACATCTTGAGATTCTTGTCAGTCCACCTCTCCAGCCTAATACATGGCAGAAGAAGGCAATCTGCTCACACTGCCTAGTCTAAATTTTTGAATGTAATGTGAGTCCCATTGTAATTATATAGATATTATATGTGGATGTCATATTCATATGTGTACATATAAATGTATGTCCAATAGGATATGTAAACATTTAAATCTTAATAATTTTTTTACAAAGCTAATATAATTTGATAAGTATCTTTATGAACTTTGACAACTCTTACAGAAGCTATCAAGTATCTACTACTTTCAACAACAAAATCTCATGTCATATCCACTGTTAACTATTTTTTTCTAATTTGAAACTAAATCAACTTCTCAGTAACTTCTATTGAGATAAAATGAAATTTCTTTTGAATCAGTAGAGCAGCTTTAGCTGAGCATTTCATTATTGATTGAATTCAGTGAA